CGCTCCGAGAATTAATTCGTGAAAATTAAACCTAACCTAATTCCACTTTGAATTTACGCTTGTGTTAATTTCATTTTAACTTACAACTCGAGACAGAACTATGACATCGTTAATCGTTCTCGAGCAAACAAACTTTGCTTTAAGTCGAAAATTTCAATGTTTATCTATGTTAGTAGTAATAATAACGATAAGTATACACAAACATGTGAAAGAGGGAGAGAGAAAGAGAAAGAGAGAGAATTTTACTAATGACACAGATAAACATAAGAGTCACATTTTTCGCGTGCCAGTGACACCGAAATTCGAACTCGGCGATATCTTCAGTGGTTTCGAACCTCGCGCCAGAATATAATATATACGTGAAATAAATACCGTTTCTTTCCGCTGGGCTCTCCACTCCTCGATACCGCTACATCGATCGATGACAATTGACATTGATATTGCGCGTGGGGCGATAAGTACGCGCGTGTATGTATGTTCGTTATGACGTAGGATCGGTGCGTATGTCCGCGCACACTCTCTACCAAACGTACGGGCGTACGCAACTGCGTCACGTGTGTATATGTGTTTGTGTGCGTAAGCGAGGACGCGTAAAAACAACACAGTAGAGCAACGCGTGTACGGTCGCGGATGGACTGATCGTGGGGGTCGAGCCACAGGTGTCATCTGACGGCGGCGAGTGCCTCCCCTCCCTTCCCGCCCCGCTCCACTGCCAAGCGCGCTACGTCACGGCTGCTCCCCTCCACGCTGTCATCCCCACCATTCCGTCCGTACACAGATAGGACTATCACTCGTGCGGCGTTTGTTGCTCTTTATATCGAGAGTACGTGTGCGCGTGCGTGCATGTAAATTGAGCTACGGCCATCGATATTTGCTGATACTAGAAAGTATTCGATATTTTTCTTTGAAATAGATAAGGAAGTACATAAGTAGAAAAGTTTCGTTCGATAAATTAATCAAACATAGAAGCGCTTGCACGTGCATTTGTTCTGGGACGCGAAATGACATTTGCTGAAAATATATAATTGATCGTATATTTTCTAAAAGAGAAAGACTTATATCGTGTTGGAAATTTCGAGATTAAAAACAACATTGGTACGATGCTCAATAAATTAGATGATTTCAAGAATACTGTTAGCATAAATTCAATGATATTTTTAGTACTCTTATTGTTAATAATCTAAATATATTCTACTCAAAGAAGCTATAAATATGAAATTTAGATTCTTTCAATAACTAGTGACGAAACTAATCAATATTCTGTTTTCTTTTTATATATTTATATGTATATTACTATATTTAATATCTACATTTAAATTTTACTCGAGGACTATATTTGGGTGTTCTAGTCTATTCTAACTCGTGCCTTTTTAAAGAGAGTCACATATATACAAGATGTATCAAAATTACGATGTATCAATTTAAACGTGTGAATTAAATAAATCCGCATAAAAAATTGTTTCAGATTTCAGTTTTCAGATTTTAACGGCTTAAGACACTTTACTCATTACTTAAGAGTTGCATAATGAATAACATATAATAATTAAAAGATAAAGATATAATATGACGGAGAATTGAGTTTCTCTGAATTATGTACACACACACACACACACACAAACGGATCTTCTGCAGACCACTCTCTCTCATTATTGTCGAAGGAAAAGGCAGAAATATAAAACAGAATAAAGATATTTTTGAAATACTAAAGTAAAATTGTGTATATAATGCTTTTTATATAATCTCTCTGTTTCTAAAAAGAATTTGAATAATCATTTAGAATACATATAAAATTAAAAATGTAGATATTATCAAGCATAAGCTATAAAATCGCATGCTAAATTAACAATGATATTTAATGAATTAATTACTAGGGGAAGAGGAAAGGTAGCAAAGTTTAAAAATGATCGAAAAATGATATTTGACGCATAAATAAACTAGTTAATTCAGAGAATTCAAATAGATGTAAACAACAAATTCCCATTCAGGGACAGGACATATTAAATTCATAGTTCAAATAGATATTTATTCAAAAACCATTGTATCCGTGACAAAACATATAATGTCTGTTACCGATGTAACACGCATGACGTATACTCTCATTCATTCGCTCGCATTCATACTAATTTCTCCCATATTATTATTTTCATTTTTCTTTTTTCTTTTTAGTAAACATAATATTTACTAATTATATGTATATATATTCTTTTTTATACTGTAGAATATTTAATATATCTTTTTTCTATCTCCACATACATCCCACACGCCAGTTGCGGATTATATTCATACAATTTTTGTCATTGTATTGTATTGTTATTTATTTAACATATGATTGTGTGATTGTGTGTACGTGTCTAATTACATGTTGTCATACGTGATATGGCGCTAAGCCATTTTTATTTCAGCTATACACTACGAAATTTCCCGCACATGCTCATACGCACAAATTTCAGACCTTGTCAAGTGTACGACACGATTTTCCATTCGACTTCGAGAAATATCTGTTACAAATAAATAAGCATGTAATTTAAAGGATTACTTTGAGAAGAAGACGAACCTGAAAACGGATAAACTATACAAATAACTTTGCTTAGGTTTCTTTTCCAAGAACGCGAACATTTCTTTATACTTTATATTCAGCGTATTCCTTAAAATATTCAGGATCGCTAAATGTTTTCTTTTAAAAAGCTATAATTTTCATACAGATTAACAATTAAACATAAAATCTACAATTTCAATATTCAAAAATAAAAAAGAATAGTATAGATAACAATTTAGAAGAAAATCTCGAGTAGTTATGAAGAATGAAAATTCAACAATCTCTCTAATTTTTACATCCTCTGAACACTTAAAAAAAATCAATGATCACTAAAGTCTTTTTCCCAAAAAAAGAAAAAATTCGCATAAAGTAATGATTGACAAAAGATGAGACGCATATTTACTTCAATATGGAAAAACTCACTTGTTTTTACGTTTTCCTAAACGTCGACGGTGTCTCCTTTTTCACATTAAAAGGTCGGAGGAAATTCGTACGTTTTTCTTGACCGGAGGTCTACCTCCGCGAGTCAATTTGCGACTCTCCTATCGTTCTCGACTTCGTCGCGTGTCGCCCGTGAAAATCGCACGATCGTCCTGGGAAAACGGAAGCGCTCCACTCACGCGCTTCCTTCCTCGTCGTCAGAAGGATCCTCTCCTCGCGAAGATCGTACGATCGTGCGCCTCGTACGAAAGAATGGGATACCTTATCGTAGTAAGGACTGTTCCGAGAAGTCGATGTGCGTCGAACACGCGATGCTTTTATGGAAATAGAGACTCCCGTATATACTAAATGAATTAAGGTTTAGGAAAGTGATCCGCAAATATTCATCAGTATATCTTTTATTAGCAAATCAAATTTTATTATGTTCAATTTATGATTTCGATTACGAGATTGGGTTTAATTTTTAACTGTGGAATGATAGAATGTAGTACAAAATGTTGTAAGTGTACAGTTTAAATTTCTGCTGCTTTCAAAGCCAATTTTCGAGAAAATATTGCTAATAAAAGGATTCGAGAATACAAATCGTGTAATATTTTAAATAACATTCTCTGTTCTTTTTACAAATCTTATTTTTTTTTTGTATTTCATTAAGATATAAAATATTGTTTATTGGCTTGTTAATTATTAACAGCATCAGTAAAAGTGAGCCGATTTAGTAAGCACAAATACAAACTTTTTTTTTATTTAGCATTCAAATTGAATTCTTGATTGAATTCTGCAATTATGCCTCAAAATGATTCTTTCGCAGGGAATTCAATGACAGTAGTATACTGTCATATATGGTTTTTATCTGAATATTTCCAATATATCTCTAGAAAAAAATAACTAACTACTTTATATAGCAAATTTGATCATTTGCACTACACCGTGTTGATGCACACACAAAAGCTATTATGATCAAATTATTTAAATGTAAGTTATTTAATTATAACATATATTAATTATTTTATCCTTATAACATATATTAGCTATTTTATCCTGAAAAAGTTTATATTTTGTTTTTGTATTTATATTTATGTATAACAGCTTTTAGTATACATATGGTGTACAATATGGTGTAATACAGATTACCAAATTTATTATTTGATCTGCTAATTCATTAATAAACGAGTAGCACGATTAGAATAACACAGTGCACTTTTACTGTTCGTTGTACGGAGTGCGAGATAAAAACTCGAGATCTACAAAATAAAAGTGCATCTATAAAATAATGTGTTAAAAGTTATTCTTTAACGTTACTCTTTAGAATTATTATGTGGATTATGAAGAAGACAAGAATATACAAATAAGAATCAGTCCTCTTGCTGTTATGCAATTGTTCCGATTGGCAGATAGTTTCAAGTATCGCCAAAATCATTGTATAATCACAATTTAAACTTCAAAATTGCACCACATAAAACTTATGTGTTGTCTCTAACCTTCCCTGCGACTATTGTCATTAATACTTTGCTTATCATCGTCATAGTATAGTCTGTCAGTCTGTCTGTCATTAAGATAATCTCACGCCGATATAATGTGTCATTCATTATGAACTGCGACTTTCAAAACGCAATCTGCATTTCGCTCAACGCCTTCCTTCAATCGGTATCCTAAGGCACATATTTTCGACACGTCCCAAATCTCTCGAAATTGAAATAACTGGGTCTGGCGTCTTGCGTACAATCGAAGTCGAGACGCGACTCGAGAGTTCGATCGTTAACTGACGCTATTCCTTCATTCGCGGGCGAAGAAAAATGTTTCTTTAGTCGAGAAACACATGGAAAACTATTGCGCTATGACATGTCAGAAGAAAAAAAAAAAGAGAATTATTACATTAGTGTTGAAATCATCATTATCATAGTAAGTTATAATACTAAGATTATTTTACAAATGTTTGCAACATTTTTCTTCTCAACGCGCATCGACAAAAGTCTTCTGTGATACACTACTGCATTTTTTATTCCATTTTCAATGCGTTCTTTACGTTTTTTAAAATTTTGCAAACGTACGCATAGAATATAACGACGTGTGTATTTTTAAATCGTCGACCTACGCTAAGTCGAGTATCTTGTTAAAGTATCAATTACTGTTCTCACCCTCTTTCTCTCTCTTTCTCTTTCTCTCTTTCCTCAGTTAGCGGCGGGAAATAACGTCAGGTATCGCAATAAATACGGTATAGCGAAGCTCGGTGACAACATGACGCCTAAGGTACGTTAGAACCTGGCCCTGATATAAACGGCCGAAGCATCATGTTCGCCATATCCGAGACGCTTAGCATGCTTGTACACCTCGTTCGCCGCGGCAGCCAGCGGTAAAGGTTGTTCCAGTTGATCACTCATACCTAGGGACAATCTCAGGTCCTTTTGCATATGTCGCAGCGGTAACTGGGTAGGAAAACCGCCCTCGATGATTGCTATAAAACAAGATATTAAAAATAACATTACAATTTCCATAAGCATATTTTATTAACCTTCAATCAGTTTGATGGAGAACTCTGAGATATCATATATAATATATACAATCATTATATTTTATTAAAATTATTTATATTAAATCATATAGATATTATTAAAATTAAAATCATCTCTTTATATAGAAATATTAAGATAATTTAAAAGTTGGAATTTTTACTACATTTATTAGAAATGTGCATATTATTATTGGACTGGATCAATTGAAGGCTAATACAAATGTGTAAATGAAATAATTGTGATCCAAATAAATTGTTATCTACCTTTGCCCTTGTCGAGAATCGCTGGACATGCCAAAGATGTCAATTCCAAGACTTCCAGAACATCCTTTTGCTGAAGACCGGCGCGATCTGCAAGCGCCATAGTTTCAGCCAGAGCTGCCAGAGTCACACCAGCCATTAGTTGAAGCACAAGGTTCATTTTGGAAGCATTTCCGACTTCACCAAGATAAAAACTATTCTTGCCCATAGCCTCAAAGCAGGATTGACATTCATCAAACAGCGACCGATCTCCAGCTGCAAGGATCACCAAGGTACCTTCCTGTGCCTGTGTTTTACTTCCTTGCACCTGCGCCTCTAAATAACGCCCACCCTTGCCATTTATTGCTTCGGCGATATCTTGAGATGTCTCCGCGTCAATACCGGTCATCTCGACATAGCCCTTTTCGGGAGATATCTCTGTCAGTACGCCACAATTGCCAAATACCATCTGGAAAAAGTATTTATTTAACACACACTTGATAAACATAATTTTTTTCAGTTTAATAGAAATTATGTAGTGGAGAACAAGATGGATTATTATTTTGAAAGAGTTATAGAACTTTGCGAACACTTACATCCTTGGCAGCTTGTGGGTCAGCTACGCAGGAGAAGGTGATATCAGCTGCCAGTACAACATCGGATGGTGTTAAACCTTGCTCTGCTCCAGCCTTCACAAAATCTGCACACTGCAAAAAAAAACATAATAGATAAAATAACTTTATTGAAATTTCAATCATCTATAGCCAAAATATAGTATAAAATAATTCTTATATTTATTTACAAAAACGCTATGAAAGCGTTTCCCCCATATTTTTATAGCACATTGCGAGCTGAATCCAATGTTATTTATACAAATATCTTTATAGTACTTAATTACAATTTAATTATAATTTTACAAATATAATATTTATGTATTATATGTGTACATACATGTATGTAATGCATAATTATTAATAATCAATTATATATATTATAATATTATATATATGAATTATATATATAATTGCAAATATTAAAGAGATATATATAAATATATAATAACGCATATGTTTTGCGACGAGATAAAATTCAATATCGTGATGCCATCTCTCGTGAAATACAGTCATGATACAGTAGCAGTCACGATTAATACTAATTATCGCCGACAGATGGCGGCACCACGTGGAGACGAGCGCCATTTGCGTTGTTCCGTTCATCATGTGGGCCGTCTCGAAGCGTTCTCGGTAACGCCGGCCACATCAGCAAACGACGCCATTGTTGCTCAAAAGAATTTCCTCCACGTCGATTGCGAATACCCTTTATAGATTCGTTCTCGCGTCCGGGATTTTTCTCTGTCGGATATTGCGAGCGAGACATATACGGCGAGATTCAATGGAAAAACGTTCGCGATACTATTTCCCTTTATCTCGACCGTGACGAAAATTACGAACGACCATTAGCCATTTTCAACGTTGCTTGAACGCGAGCGCTTTGGAATTTTCTCGCGAGGCAGTAAACTATCAGGGCGCGGCTTTTTCTACGTAGGCGATTTTCAACATCGCTTTTCATCGAGGACGAGGTCGATGAGAAAACGCAATTCGCCATATTACGTCGAATTTATTTCGCCACGTGGCTGGCTGTGATCGCGTTAGATTTTTCTCGAAGTCGATGAAAAATATGTCGGCGAACTTTGTTTTCCTCGAATTTTATAAAATTTACTCGCAGACGCTCATTCTTGTAGCAGATGTTAGAGTCCTTAACTTATACCCAATTTGACGATCGATATGACAAAGAATATGTCTCGCATATGTTTTTCATATATTCAAGCAATATTGTTGTAACTCGACTTTCTAAAAGAGTCAACGCTCAACTTCAAATTATCTCCAAGTGAGTTATACAAGCTGAGTCATCAGAAACACAATATGTACTTAAATATCTCTTCAATTTGGAGATATGTATAAAATATATTAATGTGGCTTTAAACATACTTCTAGTATACATTCTATACATATAACAATCTCAACTTTAAAACTTTCATATATTTTGATTCTAGTTTATCAATCTAGTTATTTTTTTAAATGGCATTACAACGATTACAAAATTAAATCCGTTTGGATGTCATAATGAACTTGATAATTCTGAAAAGTTATTAAAATATTTTTAAAAGTAAATTACGTTCATCGTGTTTCTTAGAAATCGTCTATATATAAAATATTCCTACAAAATCTTTTAGAAATTTCTACACATTTTCTTCGTATTTTCAAAGTTAAATGAAATATTTAAATATTCTAATAATCCACCGCGTATATTAAATATATTCTTATCACATGTGTCAAACACGATTTAATGTTATATGTACATCAAATAATATCGCAGATTGCGTATCAAATATGTTATTCTTAATAAAAAGCTTATATAATATTTATAAGCTTATATATATTATATATTATAGAATGAGACAAAGCAAACATTTATTGTACACACGTTATAAAGAGACTCGACTCTTATTCTTGTGTGTACGCGGCACCAGCGCGTCCTATCTACGAATTCTTATCTCGTCGGGCATCCGGCATGTGTTATTACGAGAGAGGAAAAGAGAAACAAAGCGCACGTACATATGTATCGTCTCAAACGCGCGATCGAAAAGCAAAATAGGTCGCGTTAATTCGCAAGCTTACAACATTCAATAATACGTATAATAAAACGTATACTACATTAAGTACGGCACGATAAACAAATGTTAATAAACAAATTTCGCAAAACGATAGGCGAGCTTTTTTCAAAATCATGTTTCTTTCGTCCATTTTTATTGTATCTAAGACGAAGCAAGTTTTCCGCTCCTTTCTCTCATCGGAAAGCGACTTTGTGTGTAAAGTAACATCCCGCCGTCACGGTCTACTTCAAAAGTTACGTTCAACGTTCGCGTTCGTCCCGTGTGACGCACTTCCGCTTTCTTGTCGATGATATATAGAAGTAACGAAAGAACTTTGATTATTTTTCTTGTCAGAATTGATGATTGTTATTCCCATAGGAGAATCTTGATTCTAACTTGATATCCGTTTATAAAATTCTGGAAGTTTTCCGAAGAGAATTTATAGTGGCATTTTCGTATCCAACAATGTGCATAATTATTTGATTATAAATAAAGTCAAAATAATTATAAATTATAATTTGTAAATATTCAATAGCGATTTCAAAAATACAATATTTAAATATAACGCGTAATTTCATGCACAATTCATTAATAATAATTTAATTCGTTAATAATTTCATTATAATTTTAATTATTATTTTATCATTGTTTTTTCTCTGTCTCTCTCTCTTCTAGTATTTCTAATAATATTTTCTAAACGTCGAACTTCTATTTCATAAACAAAATATTCTAAAATTGCCAAACAAAATAGATTAATAAATTTGCAGATATCATACAACGCTTGTGTGTTATAAAATTTATTACGCGCTCACTTAAGACTCGACACGACCTTCGTTGTTGTCGCTATTGCGTTGATGAAGATGGTAGAAGCTTTGAATGAGCAAACTAGAAATCGTCCTAAACGATTAATGGTTAAAGAACCGTCTCTCCTCTTCTTTCTTTCCGTATGACGTATCATCATGCAATGTAAAGCAATCGAGCGTTCTCTTCCTACAATTTGCACCCACACGACGTACATGACTATACAGGGCGTCTCGAAACGAACAAATTTTAATGATAGATTCTTGCATCAATTTAGAATTGATACTTCCTTCATGATATATCGATGCACCAGCAATTTGTAAATTATAATTAAACTGAGTTAAAAAATCACTTCTCATAGAATTTTCATTTTTAATTTAAGTTTACTTAAAGATATTTCTTGAAAATTAAAGTCATAA